AGAGATCTGATACTGCTTTTTGTATTAAACGACTCAAACTCTTACCTAACGCTTTACTTTATGATAATTATACAACGAGATCGGCTATTGTTCAAAATAAATATAAATAATAGATATTTTAAATGTATTAATAATAATCATAAATAAACTTACAAAAATTTAATTTTTAGTTGGTTTTTTTAAGTTAATGCCAAATATATTTTATGTAATTTATTTAAATTATATTTAAAAGAAAAATCTTAAGTATAAATCGAACATGTTAGATAATTCGAATATTTCCTCTGGATCTTTGAGTTTCGTATAGAAGTAATGTAAAAAACTCCTCTTTAATTCGAACATTTTTTTTGGTTAATTCAAAGTAAAATTTTGAGGAGTTTGCAAAAAATCACTCGCAATATTGAGAAAAATATTTGCTTAGACACTAACGTTGGCAACGTTGATTGGAACATTTCACAGCACAATAATCAGCTCATTTCTTAGCTTCCACTTACTTAAAGATATTCCTTTTAGTTTGAAGACGGTATTTTGAAGGACAGGGAAACGTAAGTGAAGCTGTCTTTCAGACCTTGAATAAGCACGAGAAATTCACTTTAACAAGCAAAATACAATAAAAACAATCCAAAACTTAAAGCTAATACTGTAATAAATTATTTGTAATTTATCGTTACAATATTATAATGCCAATATTCAACTTTGTCTAATTCAAACATTTGAATAATTCGATTTTTTTTTGTTTTTTTTTGAGGCGGTCCGTTCAACTTTTAATTATTGGGCTGCAATTTGAAAAATTTGTAGACCTATAATTTCCACTGTCGTCCGTCTGTCCGTCCTTCGTTATTCACTAAACGGTATTAGATGGGTGAAAGACGAGACCAGATATAGAAAGATTTGGGGTAGAAGAACCCGATTAACAATACACAAACCTCCAATGTAAACCAGAAACCATGTTATTTTAATTCAAACATTTTCACCTGAAAGAAGTTACATAGATGACCGGCATGACTTTATTGCTAAAAGGAAAAGTATGATGTACAGGCACAAGACAGTACTAATTAGAGATGAAGCTTATATATTTTAAATTAAATAAATTTAAAAAATATGATTAAAAATTGCAGCCCGGCATTGTAATAATGTCACAATAAATAATTGCTAGTTTAATTTATATCGTTATACTGTATAAAATTAGATTATTTCTATTTACTTTTTAAATTTATGATGTTTTAAAGATTCAATCATCTTTGTCTTTTATTTATTTCATTCCCACTAAATTCGAGAAAATATTACACAGGAAATTTTTGTTTATACAGGGATACCAATATTCTTTATTTGCCTATCCCTTCCAAAACTATATTTAATTCGCTCTTAGGTCTCTTTCTATGCTGATGCAAAATAAGAGTAAATTATGAGTAAGAGGAAATGAAATAATCAAACAGGAATTAATAACATTTCTTTCATTTAAGCATAAATTAAAATTAAATATTGTACATTTTAATTTACTAAACTGTAAAGGTTTTTAAACATATATTATAATATAAATAAATAAATTTGTTCATTGATTCCCAAACGATTCCTAGGATAGAGACCAGGTTAGGAACTTGTCTGTAGAATTGTATTGTTGTATATTAGCTTAATGATTACATAGATAATGTATATTTAGGCAAGATGTTTTACATTTTTAATTTCTTAATTTATTAAAAAAATTCATTTTAATAGAAATTTAAAAAATTTAATTATAAATATAAA